TCCCTGGTCTCTGGTCTCTCCTGTCTCTAGTCTCTCTGGTCTCTCCTGTCCCTGGTCTCTCCTGTCCCTGGTCTCTGGTCTCTCCTGTCTCTAGTCTCTCTGGTCTCTCCTGTCTCTGGTCTCTCCTGTCCCTGGTCTCTCCTGTCTCTGGTCTCTCCTGTCCCTGGTCTCTGGTCTCTGGTCTCTCCTGTCCCTGGTCTCTCCTGTCTCTAGTCTCTCTGGTCTCTCCTGTCCCTGGTCTCTCCTGTCCCTGGTCTCTGGTCTCTGGTCTCTCCTGTCCCTGGTCTCTCCTGTCTCTAGTCTCTCTGGTCTCTCCTGTCCCTGGTCTCTCCTGTCCCTGGTCTCTGGTCTCTGGTCTCTCCTGTCCCTGGTCTCTGGTCTCAGACCCGTCTCTGTGTCCTCTCTCAGCTTCGTGGACTCTTGAGGACCTCAGTGTGGAGCTGGGGGCCCCGAAGGACCTGGTCCACAGGAAGCTGGCTCTGTGGCAGCAGCAGGGGGTCCTGAAGGAGGAGTCCAGTGGACGGTACCGGGTTCTGGAGACTGGCTCGTCCCGGGAGAAGCTGGACCGAGGGGTGATGCTGATGGACAGTGACGAGGAGACAGAGTCCAACACCACCACCCAGTCCCAGCAGAGGGAGGAGAAACTGCAGCTGTTCTGGGCCTACATCCAGGCCATGCTGACCAACCTGGACAGCATGACCCTGGACCGGATCCACACCATGCTCAGGATGTTTGTGGCCACCGGTCCTGTCGTCACGGAGATGGACATCAACGAGCTGGAGGCCTTCCTGCAGAAGAAGGTCCGGGAGCATCAGCTGATCATGTCCTCGGGGGTCTACAGACTCCCAAAGTCCACCTGATCTGGACTCTGTGGTGGTTTCAGTGCCAGGCCCTGGTCCTGCAGCAGGTCCTGGTCCTGCAGCAGGTCCTGGTCCTGCAGCAGGTCCTAGTCCTGCAGCAGGTCCTGGTCCTGGTCCTGCAGGACTACAGGGACTAAAGTTCTGCAGTAAATCTGTTCAAACTGAAAGAATAAAAGTTTCACTTTAAAAACTTTGTTTCTTGATTTGATCAAATGTTTTATTTTCTGCAGAATTTCTTCCATCAGAACCTTCAGCTGCTGACATGGTCCAGATGGTTCTGAAGGTCCTGATGGTTCTGATGGTCCAGATGGTTCTGAAGGTCCTGATGGTTCTTCCAGATGGTCCTGAAGGTTCTGATGGTTCTTCCAGATGGTCCTGATGGTCCTGATGGTTCTGATGGTTCGTTCTGATGGTTCTGATGGTCCTGATGGTCCTGAAGGTTCTGATGGTTCTGATGGTCCTGATGGTTCTTCCAGATGGTTCTGAAGGTTCTGATGGTTCTGAAGGTTCTGATGGTTCTTGTCGCGGGAAGATGGTCAGAAACACGGTGAAAAGGGTGTTAAAAGACAAGTCTTGCAGGTTTGATCATAAAGTCATTTATTGATGGCAGACATGGAACAGAAAACAATCAGGAAGTCTGTTAGATGTGGCCCACCTGTCATTGGCTGGCAAGCAATGATATACTGTCAGCTAACATC